GCTTTACACAATTGATGTGTGTATGGATTGGGATAACAGTTGTGTGAGCCCCTAATAAAATGTTTAAAAAAAAAAAGAAGAAAGGAAATGTTTTGAAACTGATGGTGGCAGCAATTAAAAATTATGCTTGATCTAACTAAAAAAAAAAAAAGGATGAGTCTCTTTGTTTTGTCTGTATTCCATTTAAGGTTTGATAAAAGGAGCTCTGCAGAGTGCTTGGGGTCTTTTCCACCTTGCACACAGCACCGGGCAGGGAGGATGAGTCTTAGAAAGCTCTGCCTCTGCTACCAACCAGTAGATGCTCTTTGGGTCTTAGCTCACTCCTCTAGCCCCAAAGACCTGCCACTCTGTCTTCTGCACTTGGACACCAGTGCCACACTGTCACCTCCTCCGCCGCCATCTTCTTCATCATCACATCTTTGACTGGGCACTTAGGTGACAAACTGAGCTAAAGTCACAAATTACCTCGAAGTTTTCCCTGTATTCGTCACTGTCTCCTCTCCATAGCCCCATGAGGGGAGGCTCGGTCTTTAGACCTCAGATAATGAGACTGAGTCACAGAGAGATGCAATAATCTGCCCAAGGCCACCCAGTGAATGGGAAGAAGAACCAGAATCCAAACCCACACGTTGCAGGAGGCTTCAACTAATGACCACCTCTGAAAATCATCATCATCAACAACTTCCATTTATGATGTGCCTGGCACTAAATTAAGGAGCCTGGGTGGCGTAGGAGTTACATGATGACGTAGGACTAACCGCAAGGCCAGCAGTGTAAAGCCACCAATGGCTCTGAGGGAGACTGGTGACGGTTTCTGCTCCTATAAAAAGCGTCCAGCCTCAGAAACCCACAGAGATGGCCGTCTTCTGGTTGCTGTGAGTCAGAATCGACTTGATGGCAGTGTGCTTGTGAGTTTTGATATGAAATTGAAGAAGGTCTCTTGGTATAATAAGGTCATTGTTGGGTTGCTAAATCAGTGATTCAAGCCCACCGGGTGTTCCTGGGGAGAACGATGAGGCTGTCTGCTCCTGTACTGGCAATCCACAGACGTTCTCTTCTACCCCATTGGGTTTGCTGTGAGTCAGAACTGAGTTGTTGAACTTAGCTCTCATGCCTGTGGAGGTGGTCCCATTTGGAAGTCGGGTTTCCTCTATCATGTCGACAAGGGCCCACCAGGGTGGGGTGGGGTCTAGACCTAGTCACCTCTGAGTTTCAGAAGTTGAAGATCAGACACAGGAGGAAGCACAAGTGTGGGGGAAGACTGAAGCTACGGATTTGTGCATCCGGGTAACAGAACCTGGGTCTCAGATCTCTCCTCAGAGCCAGTTGACAGAGCGCCTTCCCCTGAACTCAGACTTGGTCCAGAGGAAGGAAGACTGATGACAGCTGAAAGACACACAGAAACAATTAGTTGAATGGACTAACGAACCATGCAAGCAAGCATCCGTCTCCATGACTCTGTGACCAGAAGTAGTAGATGGTGCCCAGCTACCACTACCAACCGCTCTGAACGAGATCCCATTCTCCAGTCTCCTTCCACTTGGGGATGAAAAGGAGCACGGGAGTAGGAGTCAGGAGACCTGCATTGCCTGCACTTGACTTTCCAAGTCCACAGCTCATTTCAGGGGAAGAAGCACCTCAAAATTTTTCTCACTTTCCCATCATCCACTGTAAGTGGGCTTCCAACACTTGCTTGCATACCTCCAATAACAGGCAGCTCACTCCTCTAGCCCACCGCCAGGAGAAGCTAAAAGTCTAGAATTTGGA